GTTATGCAGGGTCAGGGATTGCCATGGACTTCACCATGGAGGACTTGCTGAGCTACTTCAACTCCATCACTCTGCCCAACGTGTAGAGGCAACCCTCTCTGGAAGTCTGGTGGGAGCAGCTCAGGAACCCTTGTCTGCAGCTACACCTTTAAGGAGCTAAACTCAAAACCCTTCCCAAGCTGAAGTTTGATAGATGGGGGTCCCATCCTGAACTTAATGCCAAAATGCCTCTGACTTTTGGTCTTAGGCTAGATCTCCCTTGGGGAAGTGGAGTTCTCAGACCTAAACCACAGCTTCCCTGCTCCAAGAAGCCATTATGCAGGTAGCCAAAAAAAAAACCCCAAACAACAAAAAAACCTCACAAACCTCAAATTTCTGCCAAAGCGAGTGCCAGTGCTGTACCTCTTCAGCAGTCCACCTCCCAGTGCAGTTGAACAGTGAAAGGCATCTTCTCTCCAGGGACTCTCTCCTTTTGATCTGCTCTCAGATTTCACGCTGAACCTATGCAAAGACAAGAGGGTTACAACACAGAGGCTCTCAGATGTGCGTAGTGTTGCTGCATCCAGGTATCGGAACGTGCACCGCTGCTCTACCAGCTCTTCAGTAGAGATGGATGAAAGTTCAGAGTTCCTAAAATGAAAAGTTTTATTGCTTTTAGCTAAGAAAATATTTACTTGCACGTAAACTGGAGTGGAGCAAATGCTATGGTTCTAGAGATCCAAAGTGGCTTCTCAGGGAGTTGTCAGTTCTTACCCCATTTTCTTATGAAGCATCCTATAGCAACATCACAACTTGCTAATATATTTTTGTTGATGAAAATATGGCCTCTGTATCTTGTGATGATAATCATGGGGCTAACATACTGTCCATTATAACCTTTTCTCTAAGAAACTGAAGACCCTGAACTCTTTCGTTCAGTACAAAATAACAATAATCAGGTCCACAGTGACAACACAGGTCAAGGACCAGGATATCACCATATAAGCCCAGACCAGCAGGGTCACTGGCCAGGTGGAGGCACATCTGGGGCTAGGCTGGAGACCAGCACCCCTACACCAAAACTCAGGCATGGAGTGAAGGCCCTGAGAAGAGCTTAAATATGCTCCAGGGCCCATGGATGGGGGTGAAAGCCTCCAGGTGAGGCTGCTCAGGGCTAATAAGGCCAATTAGTGCCCTCAAAGCTCTGTCAGGCCTCAGTGTCAACGGCCCTGTTACTAGCACCTGTGGGAACAAACTCTGGGAGTTTTAGTAAAGAAAAGATACTAGGATTTTTCCCCGAGAAGATGCGGTTTGGGAGGTCCACCTGTCCCTCTGTCTGCAAGCCCCACTGTGTAGCTATTGAACCTCTTGATCTGGAGAGGACAGGAGAGCAGAAATCACCAAGATGGTCAGCTCCTCCATGTCTTGTGAAAATCAGAGGGAAGAGATGTCGACAGCCTCCTTCAAGCGAGGCTGCAGTGCGAACTCAGCAGCTCCCTGTCCTGCTTGCCCCAACCCGGGCCGGCTGGCACAGGGCTGCTGCAGAGCCCACCGGAGTGGGCTGTCACCCGTCTTTCGAAAATAAATGTGGTCTGTTTTCCGTAATTACCCTTGGGGCAGATTTAGGAACCTCCTTCCCCATTCAGAGCATTGGCATCCTCTTCTGTTGTTTTGCGGCAGTCCCTCCACCGCAGGACTCTTAAGGGATGTCACCGTGCCGGGGAGGAACAGCCTTTAGCTGAGCTCCGGCTGTGGGATTCCCACCTCAGCTCTGCCTTCTCCAATGTGAGTAAACCCACCGTGACCTTCAAGCCGGGGCAGGCACAAGGGTGGTGTTGCGTGTCCTGGGATTACCTTGTCTAACCCACTCACCTTCACTATTGCTAGCTGACAGTAGATGATAACCTGTGAATTAGCTTTGGGGGGAAATTCTGTGGGTCAGCTTGGACAGTTAGGGGAGAAAAATCCAAAAAGGATGTACAAAAAGGATACAGGCACTTTGCTCCCTCCCACAGCAACCTACAGGTGTCCTTTCCCTTGACCTGAGGCAAAAACCCTGTTTTTAGCTATTTCCACGTATCAGAAATTCTGGTTTTATTTGGCACGTTGGTGTAAACGGTGAAGCGTAGGCAGCTTGGGTGGAGGTCTAGGCAGAAGGATTTTAACACAGAATGTGCCCTGAACCACTTGCCCAGCAGTTTTTCCGCAGCCTGAACTCACTCCTTTGGAGCCAACGGCCCAGAGAGCTTCCGACCTTTCAAAACTCCGTATTATTTTTGACAGATTTGGGTTTTGCAGAGGAAGAAAAAAAAAAGTCTCTAACTCTGCCTCAGGCCACAGACAACCCCTTTGGACATGACTGGTTGCAGGAAGGGATGCCCAAAAAGGTGCCCAAAGCTGTGCCCATCACCCTGAGGCTCCTTTTCTCTTGCTCCTTGCTACGTATTGGCTGTTAGTACGGCACCTACAGCTCGTACAGCTTTTACTCCTGGGAGCTTCCAGCGCTCCCAGGGATGGCAAGTGCCTCTCCGGGCAATAAGACCTCAGCGTAGAAATAATCTTGGCGGCCAAGAGGTGAAGAGGCAGGGTGCCCGCTGCCGGGGAGGTGGGGAGCCCACTGCAGCTGCTTGCCACAGCTCCTCTTCTCCAGGGATACCCTTGCTTCTTCTCAATGGCGAGTCACCCCAGTCCGAGCACCAAGCTCATCTGTGTGCTTTCATATACCACATTAACACCCCTTTCCCTTGCAAAGGCAAAGATCTGTGGGTAAAATATCCAGACGCTTTTTCCGGGACTTTTCAAGCAACTCTAGGTAGTTGGACTTTCAAGTCCTTTGGGTCAAGGTACACCTCTGCGGAGAGCTCAGAGCGCCTTTCTAATCTCGTCGGTTTTTCCCCTCCCTGTTCTCCTGTGACCTTGCTGCTCGCACAGCTCAGCTCCGGGCAGGAGGAAGAGGATAGTCATAAAGGAACCATCCGGCACCGGCTCGCCCTGCTGTTCGTCCTCTCTCGCAGGTACTCAACCTATTTTTTTCAGCACAATTTCCTTGCAGTTGTTTGCTGGGGGGCTCAGGTGGAAGGGGAGGGTTGGATGGGCAGGAGGTGGGAGCTGCAGGCTGCGACGTGAGGACCCTGCGACTTGGGAGCACCCGGGAAGCCTTGCTGGGTGGAAAGGACTTTGCAGAGGGACTGACCCCGGGGAGCTTGGAGCTGAGGTTGGGTTGTCAAACACCAAACACCATCTGCAGCAAGGAGGAGCAGTGACTTTCTGCTGTCTCTGTTAAGAGTTTACCCCCGTCACCGGTGCAGTCGCTGGGCACAGTCCAGTCCCAGCTTGGGGACAACAGGGTCCTGCTCCAAGCAAGCTCCTCTGACCGCAGTCAGCAGATACCTCGGTGAAACTGTGCCTGGTTTTATGTTGACCTTGCTCCTGTGCAAGCAGGGTTTTGGGATCTCTCCTCGCCCGCTGTTTCCCATGTGCTCTGCCGCAGAAGGGCAATGCCAGCGGATACGAACCCAACATAAAGCACCAAGAACCACTGTAAACCCAGGCTACTGAGTCCCCCATACCCTCACGCTGCATCTCCTTGAACCTCTGGCATCAGCCTCCCCCTCGTCCTGCTGATGACATCTAGCAGTTTGAAGGCAAATGACAGGGCAAAAAGGGGTTGGGGTTGTGGGCTCTTTTCCTGATTTGCACCACTTTGTGCTGCATTAGTGCTGAGAGGGTTTATTTTGCACCTGTTTTTTCTTTTTCCAAGAGGCAGCATGAATGTCAAGCTTCCCCTGCACAGGGATGTCAGTGGAGAAGGTGTTGAGGGTCTCCAAAGAGTGAATTGTCATTTGTATCAGGATTTGGGGCTTTTTAAGAGTGAGAACTCTTACTGATTTGAAGGAAACTTGACTCCATTTGTCATTGAGGGGCTTCCCACAGCCCTCCCAGTTTCCGCAGCCAGGTTTTCTGAAAGCAAAATCAACCAAAGCCAAAACGAAATGAAAACTTCACACCCTCCCAAAAACACCATCCAGGCCACCAGGGCCAAATCCATTTCTTTTTCACAGCTTGGTGCGAAGGTGCTCCCAGGCTCTGGGAACAGCAGGAAGATCTGCTGCCGCTGAGTTAAACAGCCCGAGCCTGCCTTAAATGTGGGTTGATGATCGGGGTCATCAGAGGGTCATCGGAGTCGTCAGAGCAGGACCCCTGACGATCCTGCTCTGATGCGGATGGGGCTGAGGTGAAGCAGAGACGTGACAAGTAGGTCACTGAAATATTTACAGCGCTCTTAATTTTCCTAAAACTGATTTTCCCCTGCCAAGCCACCATGCCGCAGCCCCAGAGCCCTCAGCCATTCCCACAGTGCAGTCACGTTGGTGGCAAGTTCCCATCCTCTTGGTGCTGGTCAGGGCCACAGTCCTGATCTTATAGTCCGTCTTTGACATCTACATTGTATAGGCACCAGAAAGGATTCTGTCCCCTTCCTGTAAGATAATGACACAGCCCCTTTCCATGGGGACACCAAGCAGCTGCTTCAGCCCTGGTGCCCTCTTCTCCCAGGAAAATTCTTCTCCCAGAGACATTTCCAACCACACTGCCAGGTCCCACTCTCTGTCTTTGCTCCACCTGGATGAGGGACATGAAGGAGGTTGGGAGGACACCAGAGGGGGTTGGAGGGAAGGATGACACACATGGTCCATCCTTGGTGCACACAGGTTTTTTTTGTGCATTGGGAGCTCAGCATCTTGGGGACATCAGCCCTGAGGGAGGTCACCCAGCTGGTCCTCCAGATCTGGCCCCAGCCAGGGGCTCTGGCATGCTCAGGTCCCACCAGAGCAAAGCAGGGGTCTGAGGTCCTTCCAGGGAAGAGAATTTTATTGCTTCTGTGCTTGTGCCATCTGCAGGCCAAAAGAAAATCTGTTTGGTCTCCACCCACAGCTGCCCAGACCATTTCCCTGATGGGGAAGTAGCTGGATGCTCCTGACCTTCATGTTCTGTGGTTTTGCATGCCAGTTCCCAGCCCTGAGATGATGTCCTGGAAAGAGGACTGTATGAGTCCACCTTCATGCTTCATCCAGCACCTGGACCACCTTGTGTTGACTGTGAGGAGCATTGAGGACACTGTGGCCTTTTATTCCAAAGTCCTGGGCATGGAAGTGGTGACTTTCAAGGTAACACAGGGCACAGGCTTGGCTCAGGTCCAAGGGACCTGGGACTGAAGTTCTAGGCCAGTGGCTGGGCCTTATAGATCTCTGATAGGTTCTCTGGGGCAACTCCTTGGGGTGGGGATGGTAGGAGCAGCCCAAGGTGCAGGCCGTCAAGCTCTGAGTTTCAGCGGAGTCAAGCTGAGTCAGAGGAAAGTCCAAAACACCCTGCAGAAGGTGTCAAAGTGACAGAAAACAGAAAGGTTCTTTGAAAAACAATTTCGAGGACTGAAGGAGGAGAACCCCCAAACCCACACATCCTCTAAAGATGTCTGACAGGCTTTTGTTTTGATATTTCCATTGGCAAAGACAGGAAAAAATGGTTAACATTTTCAGAATAGCCCCAATTCTTCTCCTGCCCAAGCTTCAGGCCACTTGGCCTCTTTTGGATGTACACACTGCACCTTTTTACCTTCCAAGCTTCTGTCCTTCTTTCCTGCCCCATCAGGTCTCTTAAAAGCAGTTGCACTCACATCCCAAGGCCACAGTGAGCCTCAGTTTGTTCTTTAGGTGGGCACAGATGGCAGTCAGTGTCCTGCAGATCCATGGGGTCTCAGGACTCAACTGCCATATGAGCCTGCAGAAATCTCCTTGAGAGTCTGCAAAGAAAAGGGATACCAAAACCTCCTTCCTCACCCTCTTCCCATTGCCTCGTCTTTGTTCCTGGTGCCCTGCCAGCCTGTGCATTATTTGTGTCGCTGCCGCACAGGCAGGACGGAGAGTGCCCAAAACTGGAAACTTACCTCAGTGTGGTTTGGAAGTAGCTGCATGTAGCTGCATGAATTTCCTAGGTCACTCCACATCTCGAGGGATGTCTTGGGAGCCTTGCAGTGGTCAGTTCTTGTCTTGGGCTGCCCAGCAAGAGCCTAGAGGTAGCAGGTCTACAGTCAGGTCCCCAGGACTTTGAGGACTACACAGGTGAGGGGATGCTGAAGGCTTCCAGCCCAGTAAGTCTCATTGCACTTTCTTTTCTTTGGGGACAGGGAAATCGCAAAGCTTTACATTTTGGCAACCAGAAGTTTAACCTGCATGAGGCTGGGAAGGAGTTTGAACCCAAGGCTCGGTGCCCAGTCCCCGGCTCTGCCGATATCTGCCTTATCACACAGGTACCCCTGGACCGGCTGCTGGATCATCTGAAGGTGAGGAAAGCATAGGATGCCCACAGGGCAGTCTGACCCCGAGAGGCATGAAGCCAGAGCCTCCCAAGTGACACCATCAGGGTCTGTGTCTTGGGGAATGTCAGAATTGCCTCATTGAACAGCTCATGTTTTCAAGGCTGGGGGGAAGAGTGCGCAATGCCCTGACAAGACTACCTTAAGCATTAAGCCCCTGCTCTTATGTCTCCTCCCAGGCCTGTGGGGTGACTATTGAAGAAGGTCCCGTGGCCAGAACTGGTGCCGTGGGTCCAATAACATCCATCTACTTCCGAGACCCCGATGGGAACCTGATCGAGGTTTCCAGGTACTGCACAGATGCGACGGCAGTCACCGGAGAAGAACCCTAACCACAACCATACTCTGCCTGTGTCCCGGCAGCAGACAGGATGCAGAGGCCAGGCTTTTGATTGCCAGTTTACAGGTTCAAGCTTTTATTTTGCAAACCTAGGACAAGTCTCACATCCCAGCCATAAAAGCAGGGCTGCATGAACCTTGAGAGTTTTCGCAAGGCAGCCTGCTCAGCGCTCACCCCTGGGTGTGAATCCTGCTTTTATAAATCACCATCAACGGAGACTTCATGACCTTCTTGGAAGACCTGTCCCCCTGCTGCTGCGCTACTCTTGTTGGGACATTTTCCCTAATGTCTGACACCCCTTTTGCTGCACTGTCCTTGACCACAAAAGAACCTGTCACTCCTCTCCTCTTCACGGTCACTTTTGCACAGCTGAAGATTTCTGTCTCCCTTCCTCTCCATCCGCCTGCTTGGCTCGACTCAGGCTGGCTGGCACTGGTGGCTCTCACACCAAGCCAGTGGTTTAAGTCCAGCTGTGACTGTTGAAACCCATCACCTGCCTGGGAACCGGGAACTTGGCCTCGGTGTCTGACACACAAAGCGCTCCTGAGGCTGAAGCTCTGTGCTTCGTACTCAGCTCTGCATAAATAGTTACGGGGTTCCTGTCATCTGGGATGGGAAAAAGCAGAGACGAGATGGTTGCATGGAGGGGAGGGTGTCTAAAGTTGGTGAGTTCACCTAGATCTATGCGGGGATGAGGGGGAAATAAGGTGCTAAGAAGACGCTGGCATCAGGTAGAAAACATTGGCTCTCCCTTGCAGCCCAGCCTGGTTGCCCTGTTTTCCCAGTAAGGCAACAGCAGGGCTTTGCTCTGGCCCCTGCACCAGCTGCATGTGCCTGGGCTGCTCATCCCGGCTGCCAAGGGAAGGATGCGACCTCGTACTGCAGCTGGGAGGGATTTGCTCCTCCTTTCCATCCCCATGCCTGACACATTCCTGCGGACTGTTCCTCTCTGTCACTCCTCGCAAAACTTGACTCCCTGTGGCAACAGGTCCAGAACCTCTGGACAAGAGAGCCTCTGGACGAGGGAGAGGAAGGCCAACCCTCTTGTCTTCCTCTGTCCAGAAAAACCGACACATTCCTGCGGACTGTTTCTCTCCGTCACTCCTTGCAAAACTTGACTCCCCGTGGCAACAGGTCCAGAACTTAAGAGAGCCTCTGGATGAGGGAGAGGAAGGCCAACCCTCTTGCCTTCCTCTGTCCAGAAAAAGTATCCAGAGCTGCTCCAGTAGCTGGGGCATGGAGCTGCCAGCGTGGCGTGGAGGGAGCAGGGCTCACCCCTGTGAGGAGGAAGGTCTGTCGGCAGGGCTGGGGCAGGGGTCTGCAGCAGCAGAGCCCACTCAGACTACAACCGATGGCACTCAGTTACTTGTGGGACTGGTCTAAGTTTTCTGCTTTCTTTAATTATTTAAAAAGCTAATCCTCAATTATTTAAAAAGCATAAAACAATAACGAAGGACGTGGGGTTTTTCAAGGAGAGCAGTTCCCCAGCTGGCCAGGCTGCGGTAGCAACGTTATCATCACGGAAATAGTGCTGGAAGGCACAGAGGACTCTTCTGACCTCTACAGTCAAAATCCTCTCTAAAATTGAAATGTAAAATTGTACTATTTTTTTTTTCCCCTGCTGGCATTTCGTGGGAAATCCAGAATTCTCCACGATGAGAAAAAAAAATGCAAAGCCCTAAAAAATTCAGCGCTTCAGATGATTAAAACCTTGTGCTGATGGTGGCTGGAGGGATGAAAACCGCGTTCAGCTTGGATTGAACCATGTGTGGGAACGGAAGAGAAGAGCTGCCACGGGAGAAAGACACCGACACCTCATAACCTTTGCCTTGTCAATGGAGCCCCGGGAGGGGACCCCCAGGGAGCGACCCACGAGAAGGGTCCCCCCGGGGGAGCGGAGACCCCCGC